CTTCAAAGATGGTCCTCCATCAATGACCTTCTAGTGAGAGTGTGTAGAGGGTGTGACCCTACATGTACTCCTAGACTATTCTACGTGTGTTGCTAGTGGCAATGCACCATGTGATGTGTTACTGGCGCCATATGCATGATAATATGTAGTTCGTGTCCATTACATGTTGATGGAATCACACTAAGGCTTAGAAGACCAAGAGATGATATTTTGAAAGAGGCAAGAGGAATGAGTTAGTTTTGAAAATCCTAAGAGGAGTGGGCCTACTTTTGGGCCTTAGCTCCTACATTTTTATTATCATAAAATTTATTCCTATTTTGCCCTTATCTTTAAATTTCCCATTTTCACCCTTGTATTTTGGGTATCTTAGATATAAGATTTATTTTCTTTTATATTTCCCATTTTACCCTTGTATTATGGGGTATCTTAGTCATAGGATTTATTTTCTTTTGTATTTCCCATTTTCCCCTTGTATTATGGGGTGCTTTAGATCATAGGTTTTTAATTTTGGGCTAAGGTATTTAATTAGGGAGCTAGACGTATTTTTGGTGGTGTTTAGACCTATTTTTGGACTCAGAAAGGCTTAGGCCCAAGTGGAGGGCAAAGGTGGCATGGTCTTATCATACACCTAGATGTATCCTAACTAAACTCAAAGATTCCATCCTTGGCCACCAAGTTGCATCTAGGGTTAATTTGGGTTTCATTTGGTGTGCATTTGGCATTGTAAATTTCGGCCAATGCAACCCTAAATGCAACCCTAGATGCCTCCCACTCCTATAAATACCCTAGGCACCACACCTTGTAAATACTTTGGATATTGAATATAAAGAGAGCCTTTTGTGCCTTTATATCTTTCCTTAGTCACCCTTGGCTATTTTCGGCCAAACCGTACCATCTCCACCTTGGGAGAAACAACCCTAGAATTGGCCTTCATCATCATGAAGTGAGCCAACCCTAGAGTACCCTCCTCAAGCATTTCCTCAAACACCTTCTACCCAACCTCCAAACACTTCCATTTCCGCCCCATTCCTCCATTAAAACATCCCTTGAGGAACTTTGATCCAAGGAGTTCAAGCATCCCTTGCCATTATTTAACATTCCTTCTTCAATGGAAGCAAGGGTGCCATCACATGTGCATTTTAATATTATATGTTAAAGTGATTTTTATGTCTTGGATGAGTGAGATGTGATATTGTTGTTAATCCATCTATGCTATGTACATATACATGTCTTGTTTGTGTTTGGCTATCCGGTGTGTATTCCTACACCGTGAGCCAGCGTGATATGTTTCTCACTTCCTTTTCTTTTGTGTTGTTTTCCTTTGGTTATTATACAGGTGATCATCAGCATGAGGCTGGGGATGTTGGTGATGAAGCTTAGGCTTCAGTGTTAGGCTTTGCTCTAATAGGACATGTGACATCGGGGCGTAGATAGGAATTAGATTAGGATGTTGTTTCTATTAAATTATTTTGAAAACCTTAGCCTTATTTCTTTTGTAGTTTCCACTGATTATGTTATTTGTTTAAGTCATGGATGTGGTGCTCTCTATCTAAACACGCTTGGTATTTTAATAATGAAAGATTGTTTTATTCAAATTTTATTATTTGTGTTATGGTATGCGGGGTAGAGGGTGTCACACTTGTAATCCTTAGAGCAACTCCAATGGGAGTTGCTTGTTCCATGAAGCAACTCAAGCCCCAGTTTCTTACCATTGGAGGACTCTGACGTAGCAACATGAGTTGCTTGAAGAAGAGAGAGAGTTGCTTCCTCAAGCAACCGTTCCCTATCAAATTTCAAGCAGATCTTATTGAACATATTTGGGAATGTTTCGGAAATAATAATGATGAAAATTAATTTCATATAATGTTTATGTATTTATTATTGCTTTATTTTATTTTTAATATCTACTTATTGTGTATTTTTTCTTGTAATTTATTTTCTTTCATTGTAGTGCAATTATCCTTTTTAATAAAAATTTAAATTTGGTTCATAAATGATTAGAAAAAAAATTCTAAAAGTTGAATTTCTTAAAGTTTCTTACCATTGGAGTAAATTTTTGTTTGAGTTGCTTAATGCTGACATGACAAACTAGGAACCACTTTTTTCATTTTTCAATGCATGAAGCAACTCAAATGAGTTGTTTCCATTAGAGATGCCCTTACAAGACTTGAATCCTTCAACACCTTAGAATTTCCTTTCCTTGTGTTGAGATCCAAAAACACCTAGGAGAAAAACACTTTCTCCTTTACAGACTGAATGATAGAATGAGTTTAATAGAATATCTCTCTTGAAGAGTAGGTATTACAATGTGATGATCCTTATAGAACTCTTAAAGAATTTGCAAGTGATTATGGCCAAGAAGTTTTTGTAATTATTTTTCACACTTGAGTTCTTAACCTCTTTTAGGAAAAATCATCCATATTTATAGATAAAAATCCCATGGTTGTATCTTTTCATGAAATGGTGTAACTATTTGAATTCTTCTGAAAAGATACACTAGTAATCGATTACAAGGGTTTGGTAATCGATTACAATAGTTATAAATTTGAATATAATTAAAATGTTGTATCTTAAAATTCAATATTTGAAGTTCCCTCTCCTTGTAATCGATTACAAGTTCTGGTAATCAATTACCAAACCATATTGTTACTTTGTTTCAAAAAAACTTTTATTTATAAAACTTCATATAAATGATTTATCTCACAAATCTCTTTTAAGAAATGATTTGAACTATTCTTTAAAGCTTTTGTTAAGTCTTTTGAAAATATTTTTACTTACTTTCACAATATTCAAAAACTTGCTTAGAATTAAAGAGATTAAATTGAGGTTTTTGAAAATTTATTTTTAATGGTCAAGCATACTTGTAATTCTAAAAGATACTTTTAAATTTTTAGCTAAGTTAACAAGACTTATCTATTTAACTCTTGAGATCTTGTTCCTTGATCAACTTACTTTATCTCAACCTTGAATTTCTTTAATACTTTAAAAACATTTTAGCATCATCAAAACTTTTGTGCTGAATGTCTTCCACACTGCTCAGAGTGTGTGAAGTTCCAGAATTAAACAAACTGCATAATTACAATTAGTTTAAGGAAGGATTTGTTAAGTTAGTTACATATCTTATCTATAAGTGTTGTTTTGTTTGATTAAGTGTTAGTTACTATCTTAAGTTATATTTATCTTTCTATTTTTGCTATTGTCAAATTCCTATTCAAAGGCTTGGCTTCTATTCAATAAATTATTCATTCATCAATTTGTTTTAGATATACTTTGATATCTCTAGATGAATATGGATGATAAATTGACTTGACCCAACTCATTTATATGGCTAAATTTTGTTTGATTAAAATTTGTCTAACATTTATCTTATTCTTTTTTGTTTATTGCATTTAGTTATTCTTATTTTTTCCTTATCTATAATCTTTGTATAAATAGATAATTTTTATTTTATTTTCATTTTTATTTCTTCTTTTTTATTTGAAAAAATAAATTACTAAACATAATTATTATATTTTATTCTAATTATCTTTATTTTCTTTGTAGCTCTAGTAGTAGAAATAAAAACATGAGTAGAAGATTCCTCTCTCCTTTCTTCTACCCTACCATGCATTTTCTAATTAACATTAAATCAATAGCAATAGCAAGAACCGTGCAATCACAGTGGTCTTGCATTTTTAATGCTTTCCCTCTCTCCTTACTTTATTAAATTCTTCACAGTGTGTTCGTGTCCAGCAATTTATTAGCGCAACGTGAGAACTAAGTTTTAATTAAATAATAATAATAATAATAATGTAATTTAGATGAATGGGTTGGAGAGTGGTGTTTTAAATATAAAAAAAACGACCAAGTTTTATTAAAAACGCGTTTTGAGCTAGGCTCAACTAGTCTTCTAAACTAGTTATGATTAATGAAAGGCGTAGGTCATTTTTTATTTATTTATATATTTTCAACTAATATTTTAGTCTTTACATATATAACTAAATTTTATAATAAATTATATTTAAATTTATATACATAAATATTTTTAAATATATAAATTATATTTTTATTTAAAATAATTTATTTGATAATATAAAATTATTTTAATTATTAATAATTTATTTTAAAAATATTAAATTTTAATTTATAAATAAATATCACATGTGTCTGTTGGTTTCTTAAAAAATTCTCTTGTCAAAGAGAATTTCTTAAAACTTTTATCACAAAAAAAATATTTATATTTAATATATAGAAATTAATTTTCTGAAAATAAAAGATGAAGTTGATCATTAGTAATAGGATGAAATACAACTTTGCAATTTGCTTTAAAAAAAGTTTAAAACATAAAGGGTACACTTGTTTTATTTTATTCCCAAGATTGGATCCACGTTTAACGGAATGATTCACTGGCGTTCAACCGAAACCAACGCCTATTCAAACAAACGAGTCAGTCGCGCATATCATTTACGTTACATAATTTAAATGGGGAATTGAGTACCTAAAAGGGAGAGCGAGAAAGAGAAAAATAAAATAAAAAAAGTTAAGACAGTAACACAAATTTTGAATTAGTACAAATTTTCACGTGCAAGAAACCACCGGTGGACCTAACTTCATAGTATCTTGTCCCGACCGAAGTTGCACACCTCCATGAAAATATTACCCTATATAGTTTTCGAGTTTTCTCTTGCAACAATTGAAATAATGTTTAAAATAACAAAATAATAAATATAACACAAGCAATCCAAACAATTTTTTTTTATAATTATTTTATTGGTATGAAATATTTATACCAAAAATAATAATTAATCTCTATAAGAGATTGTGAACATATAAAAAGTGAATTTTTTTTTTCTAATATAATTTATTTCATATTTAAGATCAGGATTCAAATTCCATAACTTAAGACTTGTATCAACTAATAGTATCAACTAATAGCATGATAAATTCAAACAATTCGCCCTATTGGACAGTTTTGCTTAACATATACTGTCCCGCAAAAAATTCTTGCTGAATCCACCAGATTAACCTCCGAATCAGATCAGAATTTCCCATTAAAAAAAACAACTGCGATCATAGTTTTATTCCATACCAAAAAAACAGAGAAATTGAATTCGATGCCCAATCAAGAAACAAAGGGGCTAATAAATCGACAACAAGATGAAGATAATAATAATAATAATGATATTATAAAGGAAAGGGTGTGTGAAAAATTGAATCTTTGATGATGAAGATCTTCAAAATTCGTGAGATGTTCAACCATGAGTGTTGACAGCATCCCACAACAAATTCTGGTAAGAAGGGTTGGTCAGATCCCGGGCCTGCAGTGCAGCGGTTCTAAGCGTCCTAAGAGTCCACAAATTGGCCTCAAAAAATGTTAAACTTCTGTAAGGCAAATTGTGCTTCTTGCACAGGTCAATCACCAAAGGTGAAACTTTCCTCAATTGGGCCCTTGGAAGCCTTGGGAACAAATGGTGCTCAAGCTGAAACTGCAACCCCCCAAAGAACCAATCCATCCAAGAGGAACAAGAGATATCCAATGTCCCACTTGTTTGCTTCTCAAACCAATCGTTCCCATTTGGTGGCCCAACGTATGTGTCAGCAGCAAAATGGTTCAAGCAGAATTGAAGGTGTTGAATGGAGCAAGCAGCGAAACTAGCCAACACAAACATGATCCTCTCCCCCCAATTGGGTAGGCATGAAACGAGGAGAGGGAACCAAGTCCAAAACACAAGCACTCCCATGATGTTGTAGGCTCTGTCAGGGACACTGCGCCTAGAGAACAACAACAACAAAGTCTGGAGGTACAAATTGAGCCTGGCGAAGCACAGAACCGGGTAGAATGTCCAGTGCTGGTAACTCACCAAAAACCTCGACAAGCAATCAAACTTCAGTTTCCTACCATAGAAAACAGACCTCATTGAGTGGAAAAAACGCGTGGAAACAGCGAAAACTGGGATGTGTTGCAGATCGGGGTCATGGTCGAGGCTGTTGCAGGAAATGTGGTGTGCATTGTGAGTCCACTTCCACCATGCAATGCTTATCCCAGTCATGCAATTCCCACAAAGAATTTGTGCTAATTTGTTGTAGCCAGGGCTAGACATGACCTCGTAGTGGCCAGAGTCATGCCCCACATAGGTGCTTTGCATCCAAAGCAAGCCCAACAATAAGGCAGAACCCAAATGAGCCCACACACTAGTGCATCCAATGACACCATAAAGAACAATAGCAAACATAACCGCAACAGAAGTTAGAGTGTACAAGGTTACATGCTGTTTGTTCTCAAAAAGCCCCATTTTGACAAACTCAGACACAAGCTTCCTATAATCCTTAGACACCTCTGAGACCTTGAAATCTTGGAGGTGGTACCCGGTGAAGAATTTGTCAAGATACTTCCATGCAGTGCCAGGGTGGTAGGCTATGAATGCATCAGTCACATCCTGCCCTGCAAGGTTCAACAAGGGAACCTCACCACCAGGGTGATCCTTAGCCCAATCTGACACATTGTAAATCTTGCCCTGAATCGAAATCCACAAATCCCCTGGTTTGTTATGCACCTTCAACTCCTCTGATGTCATATACTTCTTCTCACCCTCCATTTTTTTTTAACTTTCTTTTACCAATATAAGATCCTGCAATGCAAGCAAATTCCAAATCCAAGGAAATCCCCCCTAAACGTAATGATGGGGTTGTTCAGAAAGACAACCCCATGTTCATGCAAGGGACCTTGATTGGATATGGTACTAACAACAGGGATCTAATGTCCCTCTCTCTGTATCTCTCTCCCTCTATGTATCTATGTAACTTTTTATTTTATTTTATAAGAAACTAGTTCTGTGCCCAAGCTTATATAACGATCTTGAGAAATCAGAAAAGAGGAAAGAGAATGTTGCAACGATAAATATGCATACGGTAAATAAATATTGAAAAACAATGGTGTTAAGTATGTAACATGAACGATGTAATCTCGTACCGTTACAGCGAGGTTGTGAAAGAAGACCGCACGAATAAATCAAAGGGTTTGGTGTAGGCTTGTCCAACGCAGAAACCGAACAACCTCGCTAATTCAGTACCAACAACTAATGGGTGGCTGTAACGAACTTTCTAACTCTGCTTCTATTTGAGGATGTGTGGTTGCTTTGGGTAGGGCGCAGCGTAGTGACACTGGGTCGCGTTGCAGGGAATTTCTTGCAAAGATAAAGTCCAACCTTAGATATTTTCGGGAGCGGGTAATGCGAAGCTTTTTCTGCGACGCATGCTTGTGGTGGAGTCGGTCATTAGCGGTCTGTGTAATTTGATTTTGACATCATCAAATTTATAAAGCAATTTATTCGTGGTACCACGACCAATTATTAAGCGTGTTTTGAGATAAAGTAAAGGTCCAACTATTGTTTTTCTTTGCTTAATTCATTCACTAAAATTCAATTTCAAACTTAACATTAATTTTAAAAATTGAAAACTAAAATTAGGTGATTAAAAATGGACTATATATAATCTATATCGAAGATTACAGGAAAATAAAAAAAATGTATTTAATGAAAACTATTATGATTTTTTATTTACTTTGTGTATCCTTTATACTTTAATATTAACTAGATATGAAACGTACCCTGAAATGCGTAGGTAAATAAATGAATTGTTTAAATTTTATTTAATTAAAAAGTACATTGAATATTTAATTTTATTATGGCTTAAATATATTTTTAGTCCCTCAAATTTAAGACAAATTTATTTTTGGTCTCTCAAATTTAAAACTGTTGTTTTTAGTCCTTGTAATTTCAAAAAATCTTGTTTTAGTCCTTATATTCAAATTTTGTTAAGAAATTTATCAAACATTATTGCATAAAATCTACCTATTCGTATCCCTATTAGTGAAAATATCACATTAAATCCGGTTGATATTGTATAATTGTCTTAATTAGTCACTTTTAAATATGTTATTATAAATTTTTATCAATAATTTTTTATTATTGAAGCAATATTTAAAATAATAGTCCAATATTTATTTTTTTAGCAGAATTACTGATATTATATTTCTTTTGTATATATTGTATAATATTCTTTGGAAAATTCTTTTTAAGCATGTTTTTTCTTATTAGAAGTTTTAACACATGAAAGAACACTATATTTTAATATACGAGTATTTAACACATGAAAGTGTGTGTGATAATGATTTAACAACAATTGATTTAAAAAAACAATTAATTTGGTGAATAAATAACTAATATTAAATTAAAAAAGTTACAAAAATAATTTTAACATGCAATTCATCACTATAGAAGAAAGAATTAAATAAGAAAAAAATAATTTGGACCGTCCAGGTCGGATACCGACCTTACCTTCTCGGTTTGCTTCGAGTTCGAACCACGACGACCAAGCCTCAAGCCCTCTCGCCTTCTAGGCTCAAGACTGAGAAGGCAAGTGGACCGTCCAGATCGGATACCGACTTTCCCGCCTTACCTTCTCGGTTTGCTTCGAGTTCGAACCACGACGACCAGGCCTCAAGCCCTCTCGCCTTCTAGGCTCAGGGCTGAGAGACAAGTGGACCGTCCAGGTCGGATTCCGACCTGACCCTCTCGGTTTGCCGTACGCCGACCACAACCCGACCGAACAGCTCCCTTTCTACGTATACTCGGTCGAGGCCCGATTGGGCATCCCCATGTTACACCTGTCGGCCTATTCCCGATACCTCTTACCCATCATAGCCTAGTCGGCCAATGCCCGACTACACCCCTGGGCGGACCTTGTCGGCCAGGAACCGACTCAACATCTCAACGCTTATCAAATATCTTTGATATAATAACTGTTACGAAATTCCCAAATTCTCGAGGCCCAGGAGGCCCACGAACTACAGAACTATAAAACTTAAAACCCTAGAGCTAAGTAGGCAGGTTACACTTTTGAATGCTCTGGCTCTAAGGCACGAACTAGGAAAAAATCCTAGTCCACCCTTTGACCGGAACATAATTAATTAGTGTAATTGACATTTTGCATAAGTGTGAATTAAATACAATATATAATATTGTATGGTTAAAATACAATTTAATGACAATACAAAATATGAAATAATTACTTTTAGGTTAAAAAATACATTCGGTTTAAAAAAGGTTAAACAGTACATAATTAAATCGATTGATATATAATTATAGAATTTTTTTAATTAATTAGAATTAGGTGTTAATTGAATATAAATTATAATATAACAATTATTATTGTAATTAATTTTAGTAAATTAAGCATAAATTATTATATATAATTATATATGTGAAAATTAGTTTGACTTTAGTCGAAATGAATAATATAAAAAAAATAATGTTATAATTTTATCATGTAATTGATCATTATAAATTGTAAATTTATTATAACAAATTTTAATAATTTTAATTTCAAGTGAGAGCATGAGTTGTTGGGTTTGGGGAGTTTAAATACTTAGGAGCATTCCATCCATGATAGTGAATATATTACATGACAATGAATATATTATATAAGTGAGTTTACAAAATTTAAAAATCTTAAGACATTAGTTACGTAGATCCTTTTTTATTTATATACTACTTAATGTGTGTAATTCTATTCGATATGAGACTCACTTTATACATAAACTTCAAGTGTGAGTGTCTTTCACATGATTATACTCCCTTCTTAATTAAGCAAAAATCTTTTTTCATCAACAAATATTTAATGGTGACCTACTTGCACGGTCATTGCGCATCAATGGGACACATCCTTCACACCTCTAAGAAGACTTTTCAATACAAGAATGATTCGACTCTTGGATCCTTCACCAATTCATACTTTGTGTTCATAACCAATTTCATTCCTCAATACTCATTTGAGTCCGTCGCCAATCAAATTGATCAAATAATCGACTTCGATACCACCATTGAGTTGAGAAGATAAAATGCTGAAGAGCATTCCAATGATTAGTGAGGAAACTACACAAGTGACCTCGAGAGCACATCATAAACCAAAACACCTTAAAGCATTAGATAAGTAAATCTTTTTCACTTATATATTACTCAACATGCCCCAAATATAATCGATATAAAACTCATTTCAAACTTGAATTCCAACATGAATATCATATTATTGTAAACAAAGTATTTTAGATGATCATAAATATGAAATTACTATGATTTTTAATATTTTTAACATATAAGAGCATAAATGAATTTTTTAATTAAAATATAATTAAATTGCTTATAATAATATAATTATATATGATTAATGATTGTTGATAATATTAATTAAAATTAAACGTAAATTAAATACCACATGTTATACCATCTAATAAAAATACAATTACCCATAATTAAAAAATATTAAATAATGCTTTTAGGTTACGCTGTATATAATTTAATTAATTGATATCTAATTATAAAATTTGCATTTATAATTAATTATTATTAAATATGAATTTAATATCAATTACGACATACTGTTATTCTTATAATTAATTTTATTAAATCAATTACGCGTAAATGATGGTATTGATTATATAAAATTAATTTAAATTAATAAAAAAAACATGTAAGATAAAAAAAATATAATAATTACGTTAAAACATAATTCACATAATTTATATTCACTGAATTAACGTAATCACATATAATATAAATTATGTTAATTTAATATAATTTATATTATAACATAACTCACGTATAAAAAATATATATAAATCACATATAATTAAAAGATATTAAATAATTAATTTTAGGTTAGATACTATATAATTTAATTAATTATACCAAATTATAGAATTTACATTTATAACTAATTATTATTAATTGAACATTTAGTACCAATTATAATACAATTGATATTTTGTAGCTAATTTTATTACATTAATTAAGTAAAATTAATTTGAATTTGACAAGAATACGTGGTTCAACATTTTATATTATAATAAATGATAAGAGATATCATCTAGAATGACTTCCGTACCTCCAATAAAAAAAATTGTATAGTTGTCTATAAAATTTATTAATTTTGTCTTTATTTAGTCTCCTTCCTACTTTCATGTCTTTTTTAAACACTATATTGTAAAGTCGTTATCATCGATCAAAAGTCTTGCAGCAGAGTTAGAAATTTTGCATGATGGGGTCAAAAAAAATATCTTAAAATTATAAATAGTTTATTATTATTTTTTTCTCTTTACATATATATTTTTTTATAAGTATAAAAAAACATGATAATTTTTATATATTAATTTATAATATTTTTTTTTTATAAATGTTAGAGGAGAAATTTTTTTTTTAAAATAATTTTAATACATTTATAAAACATGGAGAGACCATAACTCCTATAGGTCCACCATCCCTTCACTCACATTGTTAAATATATTTTTTTATCATAAAGTTCAGAGACGTAGTAAAATTAGGGGAGAACTTAGTCAAAGATAACTTGAAGACTAGATTACATTAAAAAAAAAGGTAGAGTAGAAGACCAAAGCTAAAACCCAAAATAATTTTGAAGGATATATAAAATCCCAAAAGTGAAAGATTAAATTAAATTTATAATTTATAATTTTATGAAAATTTATATTTTTTTATTAGTATTTTAAAGTTTCATCTTATTTAAAAATTATTTTCATCAAGGATAGAACTGTTCAAAAAATTCGACTTTAAATTTAATATATTAATCACTTATACCTAATTTTTTATTACTAAGTTTAAATTGTGACAAGTAATTAACTTTTAAAAAAAGAATGAAATTATAAAAAATACTTAACTTAACGTTATGTATAACCTGTCTTGCTTATATAACAAATCCGTTTTGACGAGCTGTCAAACAATAATAAGTCAAAGTAGCAGAAGATTCTTAATGGGTCGAGTCACGTGTTCGGGACAATTTGGTGACAAATAATTTGTAAATTAAAGTTGCATTTTTATTAACCTGTATTATGTTATAATCAAAGACTAATTCTTCGACCCTAATTAAATATTATCTTTCCCAACAAAATCTTTTGTATATACATGATAAAAATTAAACATCGTTAATAATATATTTAAGCGACCCAAAGTCAAATATCTCCCTCTTTTTAGTAGTAAATAAAGTTGTATTTGAAAGAAAAATTTTGTTAATTGTTATCTTCATCTAAAAGTTAGTGTTGGAGACAAAAGTAGTATGTTTTAGTTAGGATTATTAATTACTTTTGAATAATTTTACAACGAATTGTTTTGAGTATTTATTAAAGTAAATCACATTGATATTGT